GGCTCCGTTCCCAGCACCCACATCAGGTGGTTCACAATCGCCTGTGGTGCCAGATCCCAAGGGACCCAATGCCCTCTTCTGGCCTCCACAGGCATCCACACGCATGTAGCATACCTTCACACAAACACACACATGTACAAATAACTTTAAAAATAAAATAAGTTTTGAAGTAGCTGGGTGTGGTGACGCAAGCCTTTAATTCTAGCACTTGGGAGGCAGAGGCAGGTGAATCTCTGAGTTCAAGATCAACCTGGTCTACAGAGTGAGTGCCAAGACAGCCAGGGCTATGCAGAAAACCCAAGTCAAATAAGGATGTACATGCATCTGGATGCAGATGCCAGTAAAGACCAGAAGAGGGCACCACATCCCCTAGAACTGGAGTTACGTGTTGTGAGCCACCATGTAGGTTCTGGGAACTGAACCTTCGTCTTCTGTGTGAACAGTCAGTGTTCTTTGTTTTTGTTTGTTTATTTGAGTTTGTTGCTTGTTTGTTTGTTTTGGGGTTTTCTGTTTTGTTTTTGAGACAGGGTTTCTCTATTTAGCCCTGGCTGTCCTGGAACTAGCTCTGTAGACCAGGCTGGCCTTGAACTCACAGAGGTCTGCTTGCCTCTGTCCCCGAGTGCTGTGATTAAAGGCGTACACCACCACTGTATGGCTTTGTTTCTTAACCTTGTAACAAATATCATGGTGAGCCTTCCAGACTCATCCTTAGACCAACTCCTGGGGTCTACGAATGCTGATCTGGGTTGACCTGTCTCAGACCCTCTGCCTACTGTTGGAATTTGGGGTCAAAAGCACAGAGCCTGAGAGTGGATGAAGCCTTCCTGTAAGAACACGCACATAAGAACTGCATGGCTGCCACCTGCAGTGGTTATGGCTCTCTGTGAGTTCAAGACCAGCCTGGTCTGTAAGAGTTTGTTCCAGGACAGGCTCCAAAGTTACAGAGGAAACCCTGTCTTGAACCCGCCCCCCCCCCCCCAAAAAAAAGAACTGCAGCTGGGTGCAGAGCAAGGGTCCACAGTCCTAGTTTTATGTTGTCCTCTGAGAGGACAGGAGGGAAGTGTGAGAGCAAAGGTTGCTCTGTGCCTCCCAAAGCTTGCAGAGTGGGAGGGGGACAGAGCCTAGGACAGAGAGGCCATGGGAGAGAGACCCTGTCCAGTTCTGACCATGAAGGGTGTCTGGAGACACACTGGAGGGGCACTTGGCTCAGTCTGGGAGGATAAATCAAGGAAGGCCTTCTGGAGGAAGACGTGTTTTATCTGAGGCCAAAAGCACCACAGAGATTGCCGAGGCAATAAAAGAGAGCTTGGTTACACAAGCAGGGAAAGCCGGACTTTCAGCTTTGCCGTCACTGTTTCCATGCTGGGGATTTCTCAACTTCCGGTCTCACCTTCCCTTTATCAGCTCTGCCATGCCATAAACCTCAGTTTTATTCACAGTGGGAGTTTCCAGAAACATTGTCACAGTGGTTGGGACAGTGGGCAACAGCAACACTCTATGACGTCCCCTCTCGGGAGGAAGAGTTATCTTTTTTTTCATGTTCAGTATATGGGTTCGGGTATATGTCATACATGTGGAGGCCCAGGGCTGATGTCCTAATCTTTACTCTTTCATTTTATTCACTGAGGCAAGGTCTGTCGATCAATCCCAGAGTTCCCTGATGTGGTTAGTCTTGCTAGCCAGCTTGCTCTGAGGATCCTATCTCTGTCTTCAAAGGCTAGAAGGACGACCTCTCCTACTGAATTTGTATGGGTTTCTGGGGATCTGAACTCCACTCCTAACGATTACATGGCGAACACTGTAATGACTGAGCCTTCTCCCAGCACTGACTTACATTGTTTATAAAAATGAAGCGAGTACATTGATGACAGGGGTGGTTGTACATCTCTGTGACTGTTCTGGGATGTGTTGAACTGTGTGCTTTAGATGTGTCAATTATATTTTAAACAAACTGTGTATCAATAAAACTATTTTAAAAAAAGATAATAGGACTGGAGAGATGGCTCAGAAGTTAAGCCATCTTAACTCTGGCTGCTTTTCCAGAGGTCCTGAGTTCAATGCCCAGCTCACGACCAATCTAGACTGCCATCTGGTATCCTCCTCCGGCCTGCAGGCACACATGGAGGCAGAACAGTGTGTACATAATAAATAAATAAATATTTTTTTTTTAAAAAAGATAGTAGATAGGCTGGGGCATGCAGAGCACTTGCTTAACATGTAGGAGATCTTGTACTGGATCCCTAGGATTGGGGAAAAGTTTATAATGGGCAAGGTGATGAAGGAAGTGTAGTCTAGGGTCATAGGGCTGTCGCAATCAAGGCTTTCCTATTTTTGCAGTTACAGAACACATTGCTTTATTTTACTACACTTAGTTATTACTCATTGTAAGAGGAGAATTAAATTTTTTATCACATTTATTTCTTTAGTGGGCTTCCGTGTGTGCCCACATATGTTAGTATGTGTGGAAGTCAGAGATCAGTTTGCTAGAGTTGATTCTCTTTCCTCCATGTGTATTCTTTGATGATGAACTTCAAATCCTCCTGCCTCCACCTCCTGAGTGCTGGACCCACACCTGGTCTATGACGTTTTGGGGATCAAACCCAGGGCTTTGTGTGTGCTAGGCAAGCACTCTACCAACTAAAGCTACACTTGCTAGCCCCTGAGACTGCAATTCCTGTTAGCATCCTACCTCTATCATTAGCTCTCACTTCACTTTCTCTTCTGTTAAATGGGGAAGAGAAGTACATCACTGGACAGTTGAGACTTTAATTGCATTGGAACTTAGAAAATTTTAAGAATTATTCCTGACACATAGTGCAATAAATAGTAGTTTATTTTTATTTCTTTTATACCCTGGATAATGTTTGAGCTCTCCTGCTCAAGATGTAACTGCCCACTGAAACCTAGTACTGAACCCGACTGCCCAGGACCAAGCTCTGCCCTCAAGGTGGTACACAATTAGAGGCAACCTAACAACCCACACTCTCTTTCCCACAAAGGTGGGCTCTAGAAGTCTCCATCCATTGCTAAATGTACCAGAGTAGGTTCTCAACCAAGTCAGACCAGTTAATTTCTCCTCCCCAGGAACCTAGAATTCACTTTCCGGGATTGTCAACAGGTCGAGGGGAGCTGGCAGGTGACACACCTGAGGCTGGGGCAAACTTTTGCGCCACGTGGCTATGCAGGTCTCAAGAAGGCAGAGAGGGGGTCCTGAAACAGCCACAGAGACAACAAGGAACCCTAAAGGCTCAGAAGAAACAGGCAGAGAGATTTCTCTTACCCTGGATCTTGGTCTTCATCCATTTTCTCTTGTTATCACAAAATATCTGAGCGGGGTTGGAGAGATGATGGCTTTGGGATTAAGAGCACTAGCTGCTCTTGCAGGGGACCTGAGTTCAATTCCCCATGCCCAGCTCAAGTGACTAACAACAGCCTATGACTCCAGATCTATAGAACCCAGTGCCCTCTTTTAGCCTCCATGGGCACCTGCACACATGTTCACACACACACACACACACACACACAGGAAAATAAGATCAATCTTTCAGAAGAAATTTCTGAGTGTAAGTATTTATAAAGACAGATTATTTAGCCCACAAATTGGAAGGGTTTCTCTGTAGCTTTGGATCTTGTCCTGGAACTAGCTCTTGTAGACTAGGATGGACTCAAATTCACAGAGATCTACCCGCCTCTGCCTCCCAAGTGCTGGAATTAAAGCCATTCACCACCACCACCCCGTAAAATTTAATTTAATTTATTTTTATTTTATGTATAGGTGCTCTGCATGTACACCTGCAGGCCGGAAGAGGGCATCAGATCCTATTACAGATGGTTGTGAGCCACCATGCAGGTGCTGGGAATTGAACTCAGGTTCTCTGGAAGAGCAGCCAGTGCTCTTAACCTCTGAGACACTTCTCCAGCCCCAGACAGATTATTATTATAATTATATCAGGAAATAAGGACTGCCATACATGTTTTAAAAACAGAGTGAGGAAGCCAGGTGGTGGTGGTGCACACCTTTAATCCCAGCACTCGGGAGGCAGAGGTAGGCAGATCTGTGTGAGTTCAAGGCCAGCCTGGTCTACAAGAGCTAGTTCCAGGATAGGCTCCAAAGCTACAGAGAAACCCTGTCTCAAAAACAAAACAAAACAAAAAAACCCAGAGTGAGGAGACAGAGGTGGTTGAAAGGTCAGTACTTTCTTTCTTTGTTCGGAGGGGCTTGTTTATCTTATTCAATACACCGAGATGAGATGAGGTGAGCTGGCATGGCATTAGGAAGAAAGCCCAGTCTGCCTTTTGTTTTCCAGTAATGAGGGATTTTCAGCTGGGTGTTGAGGTGTGGCTTTCCTGAGTAATCAAGAGCATTCCTGGGGCAGAGATGATGATCACATCCCTGAGGTGGAATGAGGTTCTATATTCACAAACTGCAAGCAAGGAGCCTCAACCTTTGGGTGGAAAAAGGGAGGGAGGGGCTGAGGAATAGAGGAAGGGAGGGAGGCAAGGAGGGAGGGAGGAAACTCAGCAGCAAGCAGATCTCCATGAGGTTTGGTGAGGAATCTGGAAAGATTCGGGGGGTCCCTGAGAAATCCCCCCGGGGCGGGGGGTTGTACAGGAACACAGCAGAGGATTACAGCATTTTTAGATCACTCTGAGCAAGGCGCGCTGGCTCAGACCTGTAATTCCCGTACTTGGGAAGCTGGATCAGGAAGATAGAAAGTTGAGGGCTTGAGCCCAGCCTGGGCTATCACCAGGCAATAAAGATAAGAAGCTGTCTGAAAACCCAAAATGTAATCAGTTCAAACAAAAGATTACTCTGTCACTGTGTGAATGTGGGTGCTAGGGTAGGGGAAGGGGAGAAGCCAAGAGGATGACACACAGGTCAGGCCAGCTGCAGCAGCAGCCAGGGCTGGGCTGTTGATGGAGGGGACAGTGGGGGTCTGGATCTATTTTGACAGTTCCTGTTCCTGGTTCTGGTTCCTCATAAAGTCAATCATCTTGGTTTTGCCCCTGAGTTCACCCAAAGTCCCCCCTTTATCTTCCTCCTCTCACTGCACCCCGTTTCCTTTCTGCTTAAGTAAGCGAATGTGTAAGAAGGGGTCGGTAATTTACCCCTATCCTACTCTGACAATGAGACCTGGCAGCTCGCTAGCCTGCTCTAATTCGCCACTCTAATTCTAATTCTAATTTCCTGGTTTCATCTGCCCCAGGAATAAGGAATGAGTTTTACCTTGAGAGTAAGACATACAGGAATGATAATCTGAGGAAAATCGTCTTTCAGGGGACTTCTGAAGGAAGCAGTCCAAGGCGGCTTACTTTATGGTGTGGGAGAAACACTAACGATGTGCCCAGAGATGTCTGCCACCCCAGGTAAGAAGCGCAGGTAACACAAGCACTGGCGTGTGTAGCTTCTGTGCCAGGCTTTGTCTTAAAGGGCTTGCACATATTAGCTCATTTAAGCCTCGGAGAAATAATAAGATGTAGGCTGCCGTTGTTCCTATTTTTATAGATAAGAATCACAAAACTAAGGCTCGGGCTTAGCTCAGGATTGATGATAGTCTAGAATGTATGAGACCCTGGGTTGGACCCCACCACCACCACCAACACACACAAGAATAAAACTCACAAAATGAGTGTGAGATGTGCAGGGGAGCCCAGCCATTCTGACTTCACACTCTCAGCCGGTGTTGTTTGTTTCCTAAGCCCCTGATGAGATCAGGCTGAGCTGGACTCTAAGCTATTCCGTGTTGTATAAAACAGTGCTTATGCCTTGCCCTAGGAGTCTCCGCTTGGTTTTTTTGTTTTGTTTTGTTTTTTTGTTTTTAAACAAGCAGCTTTTGACTCTGCTTCAAGGGAAAAGGATGATATAGCTGGGTGGACCCAGAATTATCTGTCAGGCACCACCTCTCCAGCCCAGAATGGTAAACTACTTTTTCCTAAGAATAGATAGGCGAACTGACACCATGGGGACAAACGATTGGATTAAAACCATATTAGGAGGGAGCTGAAACGGTGGCCCAGTGGTTAAGAATTTGTACTTTTCTTGGAGTTCAGTTCCTAACACCATGTCAGGAAGCTCACAGCCAGTTAGCCCAGCTGTAGGGGGACTCGATGTCTCTGTCCTCTGCAGACACTTGTGCCCATGTTCGTCTATCCCCATATAGACACACACACGCACACACACACAATTAAAAATAAAATAACATGCTAGGTGGTGGTGGCTCATGATTTTAATCCCAGCACTCGGGAGGCAGAGGCAGGCAGATCTCTGTGAGTTCAAGGCCAGCCTGGTCTACAGAGTGAGTTCCAGGACAGCCAAGGCTACACACAGAGGAACCCTGCCTTGAAAAAAAACATAAATAGATAGATAGATAGATAGATAGATAGATAGATAGATAGATAGATAGATAAAATAATTCTTAAAAATATAAGGGAATCAAGCCCAAGAACATAGTGGATACATCAGTCCAAGGAAAGGGTGTGCCTCCTTCCTTTGGACTTTATAGTATGACTGACAGACCTGACAAGCAATGGCATGGTCCCACACCAGCTCATCATCTAATACTTGACATGTACACCAGGAATCAGGCAGGGGCTGGAGAGATGGCTCAGGCAGTTAAGAGCACTTGACTATTCTTCTAAAGGTCCTGGGTTCAATTCCCAGCACCCACAGGACAACTCACAACTGTCTGTAACTCCAGTTCCAGGGTATCCGACACCCTCATACAAACAAACATGCAGGTAAAACCCCAATATACGTTAAATAAATAAAATAAATCTTTTTTAAAAAAAAAGGAGGAGGAGGAGGAGGAAGAAGAAGAAGGAGGAGGAGGAGAAGAAGAAGAAGAAGAAGAAGAAGAAGAAGAAGAAGAAGAAGAAGAAGAAGAAGAAGAAGAAGAAGAAGAAGAAAGGAGGAGGAGGAAGAGAAAGAAGAAGGAGGAGGAGGAGGAGGAGGAAGAGGAAGAAGAAGAAGAAGAGGAGGAGGAGGAGGAGGAAGAAACAACAGGCAAAGGATTCCCCAACTATCTCTGGAGCTTCAGCTCTGCCGTTGATGCACCCCCCACCCAACTGCCTACATATCGTTTCCCTATCTGGACCTAGACCTGAACCCACTCTTCCTGCTCGCAGACCCCACTTCAGTCTTTCTCCTTCCAACTCAACTCTGCAGCTTTGCTCTGCCATTCAGACACCAGTGGCTCCAGAAGCGGCTCCCTCCAGGCGCTGGTCTGGTTCGTATCTACCATTACAGTCTCCTAGGTCCAACTTGGAGCCCTCTGAGCTCTGCTACAGCCTCTGGTCTACAGAACGAGTTCTAGGACAGGATCCAGAGCTAGAGAAACCCTGTCCCGAAAACTAACTAACTAACTAAGTAAAGCCTTCTACTAGCTGAGCCCCATCCTCAGGCCAGGTCAGGGTTTAAGGGTAAGGTCCACTAATGGTCCTTTGTGGAACAGGACTTTTTTCACTGTGGTAAGCTTAGCATCCCTGGCCTCAACGCCTCCACCGCCCTGAGGCAGATATTGTCACCTATGGTTGTATCCTTTTATAGAAGAAAGCAGACACAGGGAGGTGGCATTGCTTGACTCAACATGCCACGTAAGTAAGAGGAGAGCCAGTTTGGGAACCCCAAGCTCCACCCTGTACTGATGATGATGCCTTACTCAGGGTGAAGAAAACAGATGAATAAGAGGAAATCCCTAGAAGTAGAGTCCAACAGAGGCTCAGGAGCTCCGCAGATCCACTCTCGGCTGGAAAAGCAAAGACTGGCAGGAACCAGGAAACCTTACCTTATAACACAGGTCCTTTCCTTATAATATAGGATGCCAAGCAGAAAGAAAAGGGCATTTCAGTTCATCTTGTGTTGCGACATAAAACCCAGAATCAGGAATGTAGCTCAGGGGTAAACATTTACCTAGCTTGTGCAAGGCCCTAGGTTAAAATTCTAACATAGGAAGAATAAAAATACCAGAGATGAAAGCCTGGCATGTTAATATATGTCTGTAATCCCAGTACTCACAGGGCAGAAGCAGGAGGATTGCCACAAGTTCAAGGCCAGCATGGTCCACATAGTGAGTTCTAGGCCAGTCCACACTGGAAGACCTTGCCTCAAAAATCCAAAAATAAAAATCCAAGTGTGGATCCTTTCTACAGAAAGAAGTTTGTTTAGCTCTTGGTTCTAGTGAGTAGACGCTCCGCCATTGCGCTGCCGTCTGTCAAAACCTCCTGATTCCCAGCTATGTCATAACAAGGTGGGGAAGTGGGAAGGAAAATCCGCTACATGCTGTGGGACAAAGGTTTTGTACTTTGTAAAGACTTGTCACTTGTATTTTAATAAAACGCTGATTGGCCAGTAGCCAGGCAGGAAGTAGAGATAGGGCAACCAGGCAGGAAGTAGAGGCAGAGCAACGAGAACAGGAGAATTCTGGGAAGAGAAAAGATACAATCTGCAGTTGTCACCCAGCCATGAAGGAAGCAAGATGAGAATGTCTCGCTGATAAAGGTAGCAAGCCACGTGGCTAACACAGATAAGAATTATGGGCTAATTTAAGATATAAGAATTAGTTAATAAGACTCCTGAGCTAATCGGCCAATCAGTTTATGATTAATGTAGACCTCTGTATATTTCTTTGGGACTGAAAGGCTGCAGGACTGGGTGGGACAGAAACCTCAATCAACAGTTACATGAACAAGTGACTGCATGTGCAGAATGGACCATGCTCTAGTGGTGGCCTCATATTATAAAGGCCAGCTCTAGTGAGAACTAACCAACTCACCAGGAGAATGGACAGAATGGACTCACTCCCACAAGCCAAAATTAACCTGTTTGTGATTGCGGAGTCCCAGCGACTAAGGCCCAACCTTCAAGGCCTTAACACCAACCATCCTCAGGTTGGTTATGAGCTTTCCGGACATATTTTTGGGGGACAAACTTTATCCAAACCTTAACCAGGAAGAGGAAGCTATAGACAGGATACAGTTAGTTTCAATGGGGCAGTTTCTTGGTTTCCACCCCTAGCTGAGGAGCTATTGGCAACTGATGGTTGCTTCAGGGAGAGAAGTCATTTTTTTTTCAAAGATGTGACTGTCAGTAGGCTGTCGATTCTAATGCAAGCAATGATAACTGTACTCAATAGGTTATAGAAGAGAAGAAGGTGGAGAAGCACCTATGTAGTGGCATTTCATTTGTATTTTAATAAATAAAGCTTGCTTGACGATCAGAAAAGTAGAACAGCTACCCTGGCCTTACAGACCAGGCAGCAATGACACACACCTTTAATCCCGTAGCCACACTAGTGTGCCATAGAAACCAGGCGGTAGTGGTGCACGCCCTTAATCCCTGAACGAGAGAGGATTATAAAACGGGAGGAGGCAGCTCCCAGACACAGTCTCATTCTGAGATTCCTGGAGGCAGGATCACCATTTCAGACTGAGACTGAGGTAAGAGCCAGTGGCTCACTATTTTGCTTTTCTGATCTTCAGAGTGAAACCCAATTTCTGTCTCTGAGTTTTTATTAATCATGCTTTATGCTTATCTCGGGGAGACTGGGGTGGGGGAGTTCGGGTGAATATGATCAAGATACATTGTATGTGTGTATGAAATTTCCAAAGAATAAAAAAAATATTAATAACAATTTTCACAAAGCCAGCGATGAGCAAAGCCAAAGCAATGTCCAGAATGTTGGGCTTCTGGTCGTTGTCTTCACTTCCTTTTCACCTCTTTTATCTTTGTTCTGCCCCTCCTCCCGTAGCTGTTGCTGCCTGAAGACATAGATCTTGAAATGTCCCAGAGTCCTTTGCCTGTGACTCTGCCATTGAACTGCTGTCTATGCTAACATGACTCATGGACCGGAGCTAATTAGCGCTATTTGGGGTAGAATCACTGGTAACAGATGCCAAGAACCAAATCCACTGGACAATGTGGTACACGTCTGGAATCCTAATCTTTAGGGGGCAGAAGCAGAAAGAACAGGAATACTCACAATACTCACAGAGCATGGGAGAAGCCAGCCTGGACACATGAAACCTAGTCTTAAAAAAAAAAAAGAAAAAAAAAAGAAAAGGTACTTAAAAATGTAAAACTTTTAGGGGCTGGAGTAAAAAGCATACACTGCTCTTGAGGATCTGACTTTTGTTCCCAGCAGCCACTTCAGGTAGCTCATCACTACCTGTACCTCTGCTCCAGGGGCCCTGACACTCTCTTCTGGACTTGAAAGGCACTAGTATTCACTCAAGCATATACCCACACACATGTACATCATTTAAAAATTAAAATTTAAGCCAGGTGGTGGTGGCCCATGCCTTTAATCTCAGCACTTAGGAGGCAGAGGCAGGTGGATCTCTGTGAGTTTCAGGAAAGCCTGGTCTACAAAGTGAGCCCCAAGACAGCCAGGGCTATACAGAGGAAACTCTGTCTTGAAAAACAAACCAACCAATGAACAAGTAAATAAATAAAACTTTTAAGATGAATAGACAAAAACTTAAAAAGAATCAAGTTGTCTAATGCAACCCATGCATAAAGTTATGCATTTAAAATCTAATGTCAGAGGAGCGGAAATGGTCATGGCTGCACTTCCTGACAATGTCCCCTTCAGCCAACCATACATCACAGACTACTGAGTCAAAACAAAACGAAAAAACAAACAACAAAAAGGAGAAAGAAGAAGGGCCATGCCTAAAATATCACCTCGTTTAGCTCAACCTCCCTCCTTCAATGACACTTTATCTCTGAGGAGCCCCAGTCCTGACTCCTGACTATGCTATTTTCTGCTCCATTTGGGGCCTTGAACTTGTGGAAGGATTTTGACTCAGATTGTTACCCATTGTTCATGGTTCCTCTTTCTCCTGCCTACTTCAGCAGGAACGCCCTGCACAAGTTCAGGTCATTGTATGCCTTGGTCAGCAATCACTTGTTTGTGAGTGCAGTTCGTTCAGACTAGCAGAAAGAAAGACTCAAAGACCAAGAACTGCCCAGAACCCAAGGTAATAATTGCAGTCATGTGACCGGATGTGGACAGGAGACCTTTACCAGCCTCTCTCTCTGGGGAGAACCAACATGTGCACACTGTTCTCAGAATGAATGTGGACCCTCCAGGTGTAGACAGGACAAGGGGAAATGAACACCCAGTCTTCACTTTGGGGCCTCGCACCTGGATCAAGGGTGTTAAGAGGGAGGTGGGAGGTGGGAAGAAGAGAGAATACTATGTAGGAAGAGACAACTCTGAGGAGAGCTGTTGTCTGTCCTTCTGTCTGCTGGATTGGCCAGGGCGAGGCAAAGGAGTGTAGCGAGTGAATGAGCTCAGAATGCAACATTTTAACCCAGTGGAAGGTGACTGATAACTGGAAGATGCAGGAGGGGACTTCTTCCTGCCCGTTTTCCACCCAAAGTCAAGGTACTGATTTCCCATGTGAAACAGAAGTGGGGAACACTCTTACTGCTGGAAATGGGGAGCTGCTGTCAAGATAATACTGCTCTAATCAACCCTGGGAAAGAAACCCTCATTTCCACCAGTCTTTCGTTGTCACTTTCTCACAGTTAACTTCCTGTTGTCCAGACTACCTTTTCCTATCTTCAAAGTTCATGACTCCTATTAAAATGGCATAACTCCCACCCCGTCAACCTCTGAGGCAGGTGGGAGAGCTGGTCCTGAGGCCATAGGATCAGAAGAGCTGCACCACCCCACCACAAGTTGCACAACACTCAGGAGAGCAGGCCCTGCCCCTTGCATGGGCAGCACAGTAGAGTCCACCCATTGGAGGTGGGGTGGAGCCAACCGGAAATTGTGAGGATGGGAGAACAGCTCCCCTTACTCATCTATCATGTGGTGGCA